CGTCCAACACCCAGCCAATCCCGTTACGCTAACGCTAACTCAACAGTGAGTTATTACTTTCATTTTTCTGTAGTTGAGTTAGCGTTAGCTTGCATGACCGGCTCCGTCATGCTGGTTTTCCTTCCGTATGAGCGCCAGAAGCGTCACGTGACTAAGAAACCGTAACGGGATTGGCTGGGTGTTGGACGCCCATTGCTAATGTCTGTGACCTGAAGTAACCCCTCCCTTTTTACACTGAATTTAGACGCCGAATTTAAGACGGTGAAATAGAGCCAGTTGAAACTCAGGAGGCTGAAAATATTGAGTTTGAATTTTGAAAGGTTGAATTTTTTTATATGCAGATTTTTTTAACACAGAAAAATAAATATTGAAAATGTAATCACTTTGAAATAGTAATGTGAATTTTTAGCTTGAAGAGAAAATAAATGAAATTTCAACTGTTTAGAAATATTGAAAAAATTTTTTTTTAGGTCAAAAATGTGTTCTGAATATATTTTAACACTGAAACAGTAAGAACAAACATACAACATTCAAATCCTAGCGACACAGATTTACTTCCATAGAAAAGGAACGTATTACTGTGAGAGTAAAAAACAAAACAAAAAAGTCAATAAAAGCTGATGGAAAATAAAGAACAAGGGCACATTAGATACAAAACTTACGGTAAACTTGTTCCCGGGCCCTGTCCTGGGCTGTGACCAATGAGCTGACAGCATATATGTAATGATCCAGAATCCCCTCATCCCATTGGCCGAGCCAAGTGTTGCTCACGGAGAAGATAGCGGGAGACAACGGAGCATTATGAGGGCTGATCCAGCTGAAAGTTGAGTGCTTTTGGGGGCGGTGCACCTTCGCATAGTGATGCTCCTCCTTCAATAAAAAAAAGGATGCAGAAATATAGGGAGGAATGGGTAAAAAAACAAGTAGCTGGGTGGAAAAAGTAGAAAAAGTTCTGCGATAATGAATATAAAGCACACAGGAAACAGGAAAACAAACGATCAGTTCAGGTGTTTTATAAAATATGTGACTCAGGAAATTGTCTAAATACCAAACTGAACAATTTTTGTTCTCTACTTCAAAAATCACTTTAGATTTTAAAATGGAAAAATGTTCATTTAATTTTTTTTATTTTTTTTTNAGCGACACAGATTTACTTCCATAGAAAAGGAACGTATTACTGTGAGAGTAAAAAACAAAACAAAAAAGTCAATAAAAGCTGATGGAAAATAAAGAACAAGGGCACATTAGATACAAAACTTACGGTAAACTTGTTCCCGGGCCCTGTCCTGGGCTGTGACCAATGAGCTGACAGCATATATGTAATGATCCAGAATCCCCTCATCCCATTGGCCGAGCCAAGTGTTGCTCACGGAGAAGATAGCGGGAGACAACGGAGCATTATGAGGGCTGATCCAGCTGAAAGTTGAGTGCTTTTGGGGGCGGTGCACCTTCGCATAGTGATGCTCCTCCTTCAATAAAAAAAAGGATGCAGAAATATAGGGAGGAATGGGTAAAAAAACAAGTAGCTGGGTGGAAAAAGTAGAAAAAGTTCTGCGATAATGAATATAAAGCACACAGGAAACAGGAAAACAAACGATCAGTTCAGGTGTTTTATAAAATATGTGACTCAGGAAATTGTCTAAATACCAAACTGAACAATTTTTGTTCTCTACTTCAAAAATCACTTTAGATTTTAAAATGGAAAAATGTTCATTTAATTTTTTTTATTTTTTTTTTATTTAAAAATTCAATGTATAATATGGGTGCATAAGAAACTCTTTTTATTTCAGTGTTAAATTCTGTTTAAAGTAACTGATTATAATTAAAAATGTCTCCGGACCTTTACTGGTTTTTATTTATTGGGACCCTGCTGGGTTTTAATTGGTTACCCCTGATCTAGACTAATAAGCCGTGTCCACGGCGTAGGTCAGCCTGACTGACCAGGCTAGAACAAATGAGTGAGGATGAGGAAAATATTACGAGTTGGTGATGAAGATGAGATTTTAGAGTAAAAGAGAAAGAAGGCGAAGCAAAGGAGGAACAGGAACAGGAAGGCATAGAGTCTGGGAATCGAGCTGATCCACCTGCTAAATAGTTATTCTCTGTAGATTAGATTTTTTTTTTCTTGAAGATCTGCTGTAAATGATGCCACTAAATCTGTTTTTGTTTTTATAGCCTTTATTGGCCTTTATTGATTGAAAAAAAATTCTCCATTGCTCTTTTTTCCCCCCTCAAATCTTTATTTACAAAACCTGTTTTATTATTTCCCCCAACGATAATGGAACAAATTTGACTCCATACATTTTTCAGCCATTTGAACCAGTTTTAAAGATGAAGGTGGGTTTGATCGCAGCTCCGATTTACACCGACCAAAATGAGGATTTTTTATTTTATTTTATTTTTAAAGGCGGCACAGCCGCTCTCCTCTCCTTGATTTCCTGTTGCTCCTCAGTTTGCAAATGGAAGCCTTCAGTGTTCCTGCGGACCTTTTCTAGAACCTATTTCTAGCTGAAGGAGTCGGCTAAGGGGAGATTAGTGGCAACAGCTCTTATTTGGAGAGGAAATGACTCTCTGCAGCTTCACCCCTGCAGCCACCGCCGCTGCTACATCCTGACCCCAGACTCAATAATTGGCTGAGGAAGGGGGAAGACGGCCCTCTGGGTAATTGGCTTCATTGATTGTGTGTGTGGTGGGGGGGGGCAGGGTCTGATCTACGGCAAATATGAGACCATTCTTTATCAGAATTTCACCCCTTTTTGACCCAACGAGCCATTTAGATCCTGGTCTGCTATGTCAGGCAAATTAGAGTGAAATGATACAATAGCTGCAGAGAGGCTAAAACTACGACGGAGTATCAGGGACAGGCTAGAGGTTTTTTATTTTATTTTATTTCGAGAATAAAGTC